TCATGGGGGGGGCTGGGGAGATAGCTCAGTTGAATAAGTGCATGCCTGGCAAGCGCAAGGGCCTGAGTTCAATCCCCAGTTCCGCAAAAAAAAATAAATAAATAAATAAAATAAATAAATAAAAGAAACAGTCACAGGGGACCTACCTGCTCGGGCTTCCCTCCGGTCCCTCTCTCGGACAGGAGCTTTCTTTCCCTCAAAGTATCATGGGACAAACTCATGCTAAATCCTTATGCAGAGTCTGTTACTTCTAAAGAAGATACATGCATTGTTTTATCTGAAATTCAAACTTAATGGGGCCTCTTATATATTTTATTGTGATAAAAAATATGCATAACACAAAGCTTATTCATATTCATTCCTACAATGTGTGCATTGAGTAGCGGTGCATTGTGAATGTGATTAACCGTCACCACTGTCCAGGGACAGGACACAGATGCAGGAGCAGAACCCTGGCTCCAGGACGCTGCCCCAACTTGCGCAGATGCTGCCCTCCTGCGTAGTGACCAAGGGCAAGGCGAAGGGGGAAGGGTGGGTGAACCCGACTGGCCTCCGCAGGCCACAGCGCATCTCCGCTCAGTCTCCTGCAAGGCTAGAGGTGAACCGGTAGCTGCTCAGAGCCAAACCCGTGTCCTGATGGCCTGCTCTTGACATGGTATTAGCATAACCAGGGAGAGCCAGAGGACTTGGCCACCCTAGGCTGCAAGGGCACCTCCCATGTCCTTCCTGACAAACGTTTATGTTAAAAATATGACCCAGACAATCAGAGACTCAAATAAGTAAACAAAGCCAGTGCCCAACACTTCTTTTCTTTTGTCTGTTTATTTTTTGGTTTTTGGTCGTTTTTGTTTCGTTTGTTTGGTTGGTTGGTTGAGTTTTTGTTTTTGTTTTTGTTTTTGTTTTTTGGTGGAACTGGGTATTGAACTCAGGCCCTTGGGCTTCCCAGGCAAGTGCTTATTCTACTGAGCCATCTCCCTGGCCCCTTATACTTTTTTTTTTTTTTTTTTTTTTTTGCGGTACCTGACATTGAACTCAGGACCCTGCGCTTGCAAGGCAAGTGCTTATTCTACTGAGCTATCTCCCTAGCCCTGGCCAACACAATGTAATCTGTGCACAGTGTTTAGATTGTGAGTTTTGTTTCTGCTTTTATTCTCCTTTCATTGCATATATACATATATGTTATGTTTTATATTTTATATATTATATATATAATAGTTTTAGATATGCAGCCTAAAAACTTAGCTGTTGAGAGAGCCAGGTTTGAAGTCCGATGCGATGCGTGTAAGCCCCAGCTCTACTACCTGCAGCCATGGCATTATTAAGCTTGCTATGTGCACGGTACCACGTTAAGCATTTTCTGTGCATTATTTTATTTAATTCCCAAATGCAACTTGATGTCTGGGCACTGCCAGGGGAGCTCTCTTATACATGATAATCTCAAAGCACAGAAGAGGCAAGCCATCTTCCCAAGATCACGCAGCCAGCTACGTAGCTACTGAAGCTAGGATTCTTTCCTGGGCTGAGTAACTCGAAACCCCCAACCAAGGTAAGTCCTGGGCTTGGCCTTGAGGGATGTGTGCGCTGCATTAGCCTATGGGCAAGCGACGAGAGGACAGGAAAGGTCGAAGGGCTCTCCGGGCTTCTGGCTCAGCCAGAGCAGGGTGGCAACGAGGCAGGAGCCCAGATGGCACTTACAGATCTCACGTGTGTGACTGCACGTGGTGTCTGGGCTATTTCCCCCCAAGGCCCAGGGATTGAACCTCTGCCAACATCGGCTCCATGAGCCGGAGGTGAAGGTCTCAGGGGAGGGGCAGGAATACCTACAGGGCTGGTCTGGAAGTGGTACCAGAGAGATCCCAGTCATTGCTCTCCAATGACTCTTTCCACCCAGTAGCCAGCTCCAGGCACATTCCCAGGAAGGCAGTTTGACAACAGGACTGACAGCTCCACAGTTTTGTCAATATTTGCAGAGAGGGGTGGAGATCGTAAGAGGAGATGAGTAAGCGAAGCAAGTGTAGGACCTGACATCGAACAGGTGTGTGCAGAGCGCTGCTCTGCTCCAGAACCCCTGCTGCTACCAGGAGGCGAGTTCTTGTACCAAGGATTCTGCGTGTTTGAATACTGACTCCCACCTCTGCCCTGGACCCTGGCATAGTTTACCACCCTGCAATCACAACTGAATTTTTTTTTTCCTCAATGTATTTAGTACAGGGTCTCACTACACAGCTCAGACTCGTAGTGCTCCTCCTGTTTTCAGCCTCCCCTGTGCTGGGATTACAGGCACGTGTACCACCACACCCAGTTTTGGCACCTGGGGTTCCAGGGCCAGCACAGCATGGGGTACTGGGGATCCAACATGGATCCTTGCACTTGCCAGGCAGGGCTCAGACTGCTGAGCTATCTCACCAGGCTCACCGCCACGAATTCTTAACATTGTTACTGTTGTCCCTGGGCTGCATTTCCCATCAGTAAATCTGATGAGATGGCGGCACCTGTGCGTAAGATGCACGCACCGGGTCCACATGCCTGCGCTCTGTCAGCAGACAACGCCAGAGACTCTCCACATGCAGGTGACCAGCAAGCCTGCAGGCAAGTGGCGCTGTGTGTGCTCCGGCCACACCCAAGTGCTCCGACAGTCTGCTTCCTCCACAAGCCAGAAATGCTCTGGGACACAGGAAGGTGGCAAAGCTACCAACAGTGATGGAGCCTGTCCCTGCCTTCTTCCCCGAGCTGCCCCGAACAGGGACCAAACACTTGTGCTGACCTGGACAGCTTAGAAAGAAAGGAAAGGAAAGACACTGAGACGGCTTTTTCGTCTCACCTCTCCTGCTGGCAGAACATGCATGTTCTAGGAGGTGACTCGGCCGGGGGCAGCGCTTAGGCCATTTAGTAAGAGCCATATGCAATATGGGAGCCACGCGTCAGTGGTTTCTGTGCACCAGTTCATGCGATTTCAAACCAGCATGGCCTGAGATAAACAGCGCAGCTTGTACTCATAGTTTAAATCTTTCATTTTGCTTTACTTCGAGTGGTTATGAACGGCCAAGCAGGAGCGAGAACACGAAAGGAGGCACTCCTGCTGCCTTAACTGAGAACAAGGTCTTGTCATCTTTGTTTCCCATGGGTCCTGCATTTGATGTCACCGGCTTGTCCTTCCACAGTGGAGTCCACCCGGGGCGCCCTGGGTGCTGAGTCCCCTGGGCCTCTGCCTGAGTGAGTTTTTCATTGACTAAACCACCCATTTCGCTAAGTCTCATATTCGTGCCTAAAATGGGAATAAAAGAGGCCTACCTAATTCTAATGTAGACCGCAGTGAGATGCACGATTCGAAAGGGTCTGCAAAGAGTAAAACGCCATCTACACAAACTCTCCCACCGGGAGAGTGTGAGATTTCACAGGTCCAATCGGCCCAAAGCGGCGGAGACGACCTGTGTGGCAGACAGAAGGCCACTCTGGCTTCGGTGGACGGGAAATACAGACCCCGGGGCGAGGTCCGCGCACTCTCGGGGGCCTCGCCCCGCCGGAGTGGGTGGATTCGCGGCAGATCGCCTGACTTAATCACCGCCCGGTCCCGCAGCCAGTCACACTCTGAGCTCCTCTCTGAATGAGCCCCGGGGCACAGCCCGGCTCCTGCCATCGAGGGCAGGCAGCCCGCGCGGCCCTGTGGGCACAGTGCGTGGCCGCAGCCGCTTAACGAGCCGGTGTGTCGCATTCCAGCTCTAAGCTGGGCAGCGCTGAGCTGGAGCGGCATTTCCAGCCCTAATTACGGGGCTGCGAGTCATGAGTTCCGCATTTGCTTACAAACTATTTTTGCCCTTGCTTGTTGCTTTCTGAACAAAGCCATCTCTGCTCGCGACCACCTCCCAGCCGCCTGGGCTCTGCTCTTAAGGATCTTGCTTGTTGATTCTGCGCTCATACTGGTGGGATTTCGTGCTCCCAGACAGGTGTGGACCCCGGCTTCCCCACCCTTCTCTCTCACCCAGGTGCTTACATGGCCTGGGCTCACAGGTGTCCCTGAGCGCCCCGCTGAACGTGTGGCTGAGCCAAGCCACAATAATTACAGCTTACATTCTGCCCGAGCTTGTCCTCCGGCCACTGACTCATGGAGCCCAGGCTTCCCCTGTGCACCGGCCGCTCAGGAGCTCCAAGCTTCTCCCCGGCCGCGAGGGAGGTCTTCAGGGCAAGTCTGTGGATCAACATGCACCCTTATTTTTGGTCCTGCTCCCCCAGTAGCTTCTCCCTTTGCTTCTCTGTCTCCTTTCGTTATCTTTCCCCTTATCCTGTCCTACCGTGTTACCTAGGTCTCTGTCAGACACTGTAATAAAA